ACACCCTCTTGAAAAACTTGTAAGCCAGTCACTTCATGCCTTTATAGCCCCCCATTTTAGGTAGCCAGTGTCTAAGGTGTCCATCCCTGTCAACCCTGTGTACTGAGGGGCTGGGACTGATCCTTGTTGTGAAGATTCCTTCCCTCTTTTAAGCTACTACATCCATAAGTATAGGTCAAGTTCATCAAATTGTAGCGGATTACACTTTTTTTCCTCTTCTTTCTTTCTCTAGTCAAATTCTGATCATCCAGCCATTGAAGCTAGGTCAAATGGGCACTATCTGCAAGTATGGGTGTTCTTGTGCATCTCCCCTCACTTCATATCAGCTGGACGCTTCATTCTCCACTCTAGTCCTCGGTGGCCATGTCCCTGTCCATGGGCTCAGGAGTCCCCAGTTTCGTCATATTGCTGGTTAACCAGGTCTCAATCCAGGTTAATAGGAGTCTATTGAATGTGGTCGGACTTAGTTTACAACTTCATTGCTGTTTTTCCTCCACTTCCCCTTGTCAGTGACCAATGTGGTCAGCAGCAGAACCATATGCCTGCTAGTGTATTCCATTTGAGTTTCAGTCTTGGAAGGGGGTTTGCCTTGAGGGGACCTGACCACTTGCCTTGATGGCTCCCTGGGGAACAACTTGCTTGTTTTTGTAGTAGTCAATTGGACTGCTGTTACTGTTTTTGATTTTTAATGCTGGTCTTTCTTTCAAGAAGTACCTTCTGTTCTAGCTGTTCCAGACTGGTCTGCTTGTCCCACCTCAGAAGATTCTGGATGGGGATTAGGATTCCACCTATGGTTTTGTACACTGCAAAGGTTCTGCAGGGAGCCTCCTTCACTGGGCAAGTTCTAGCCCCATTTTAGGTATTCCAAATAGTTATAGACTGAAGACAGACTTACAAGCATTCTCTGGTGATGTTTCTGGCTATTTGTCTCTCTCCCCTTCAAGTGCCTATTTTACATGAGTAGACAAGAGAAACCAAGATTCAAAAGACAACCAAGCATCTTTCCCCACTTTTACCTATTTAAGCCCCAATCTTTGTATCCATGAGCTCTGTTGTTTCATGTTTGTGCTTACATCGTTATTTACCTCTGTCCTATTTAGCCCATGTAAACCTGCCTAGCTATTCTCCTATCCGCCTTATTTTTCCTTTCCCCTTCCTCTCCTAGTGTATGCTCCCCCCAGCACCCAAACTATCCTGTGTCTATTCCATACACTGTACTCCATTGTCCTGTGCCTATTCCCTATCCTGTGCTCCACCTTCCCCTCCCTCCCCCTTCCGTCCATCTTCTTTTGATGCTTTCTGCATCATTCAATGTTTTACCCATAGAATCTTTCAATATTGCAAGTTGAGGCTTGAATTTTTTCTTCATTTCCCGCAGCTTGAGAAATGCTGAGCATGTTCTTCCCTTTTGGTTTTCTAACTCCACTTCTCTCTGCACATTTCATGATAATATTTAACTTTTTCTTCTCTAGCTGCTTTTTGAAAATGTCTGTTCAACTCTTTTACTTCCTCATTTCTTCTAGTTGCTTTAACTTCTCTACTCTCAAAAGCAAGTTTCAGAGTCTCTTCTGACATCCATTTTGGTCTTTTCTTTCTTTCTTGTCTTCTTAATGACCGTTTGCTTTCTTCCTGTGTGTTCTTGATGTCATCCCACAACTCTTCTGGTCTTTAGCCATTACTTTCTAATATACCAAATCTGTTCTTCATATGATCTCTACATTCAGGTGGGCTATGTTCCAGGTCATATTTTGGCTTTTGTAAGAGGACTTGTTTTCATTTTGTTCAGCTTCAGCCTGAACTTGCATATGAGCAATTGATGGTCTGTTCCACAGTCTGCCCCTGGTCTTGTTTTGGCTGATGATATGGAGCTTTTCCATCATCTCTTTCCACAGATGTCATCAGTTTGATTTCTGTGTATTCCATCATGTGTATAGTCGTCTTTTATATTATTTATAAAAGGTATTTGCAATGGAGATGTCATTGGTCTTGCAAAATTCTATCATGCAATCGCCAGCATCATTTCTATCACCAAGACTATATTTTCCAATTATTGATCCTTCTTCTTTTTTTCCAACCTTAGCATTCCAATCACTAGTAATTATCAGTGTATCTTGATTGTATGTTTGATCAATTTCGGACCAGAGAAGTTGTTGATGTTGTTGTTAAGTGCCATTGAGTTAGTTCTGTCTCATAGTGACCCTCTGTAGGATTTCCTAGGAGCAACTGGCAAGCTTGAACCACCGACCGTGAGGTTCAAACAAATATTGAAGTCCAGCACATTAACACACAGTGCCATACCAGGTAACATTCTTCAATTTTGTCATCATTGGCTTTAGTATTTGGTGTTTAAATGTGAATAATAGTGTACTAACTGGTCTTCCTTGTAGGCATATGGATCCTATTACAGACAGCATTGTACTTCAAGATAGACCTTGAAATGCTCTTTTTGATGATGAATGTAACACCATTCCTCTTCAATTTGTCATTCCTGGCAAAGTAAACCACATGGTTGTCTGATTCAAAATGATCAATTACCAGTCCATTTCAGCTCACTAATGTCTAGGATATTGATCTTTATGATTTCCATTTCATTTTTGACAACTCCCAATTTTCTCATCTTCATACTCCATACATTCCATGTTCTGATTATCAGTGGATGTTTGCAACTCTTTCTCCTCATTTCAAGTTGTACCAAATCAATAAATGAAGGTCCCAAAAGCTTTGCTCCATTCATGTCATTGTGGTCAATTCTTCTTTGTGGCGGCAGCTCTTCCTCAGTCCTATTTTGAGTACCTTCCATCCTGGGGGGTGCTTATCTTTCAGCATTAGATCTGACAGGGTTTCAGTGGCTAAACACTCAGAAGTGGTCAGCCTCTCCTTCTTCGTAGTCTGTCTTCGTCTGGGAGCTCTGCTGAACCCTGTCCATTCCATTATAGCAACATGCAAGTGGCCACAAAATAACAAACTGTCAGACGAGAGCTTTCAGGGCAGGGTCCTTGTCTCATTCCAGTGTCTCCTCCTGAGTTCCTTGGAGGTCTTCATGAGGAATATTATCTGTCTTCCCCCATCCATGCTTGTTTGCCCAAGTTTCACCTTTTCTAGCTCAAAAGTAATTGGTTTAAGACACACCCTCCACTGATATGGCTTTGTGAACATCACAAAGAACCCCACCCCCATACTCACTTGGGATTACGTCCACAGGTATGTTGGTGTTGGGTACTGAGTCGATTTTGACTCATAAGCGACCCCATGTGACAGAGCACAATGACCCTATGGTATTTCCTAAGGTGTCATCTTCACAGGAGCAGGATGCTAGCTCTGTAACCTGTAAAGCTTTTGGCTAGTCAATGAGTGCTTAACTGTTGAGCCATTCCTTTCCATCAGTATAAAAAACCCCAAATCATCTGCCACCAAGTTGATTCCAACTCATAGCGATCCCATGTAGGGGTTCTGAGGCTGTAAATCTTTACAGGAACAGAAAGCCTCTTCTTTCTCCCTCAGAGCAGGTGGTGGATTTGAACTGCTGACCTTGTGGTTAGCAACCCAACCCATAGCCCACTACGTCACCAGTGCTCCTTCCATTAGTATGTTGTTGTTGTTATAATTTACGACGTATATTTTGGGGGACACAATTCAATTCATAGCAGGGTGGAATGCCATGATATTGCATAAGTCAGCATGAACTGCCATTGGGTTTTCTTTCTATTCCCTAGCATAGTCCTCCATGGGGAAAAAGGGGGCTCCCCACCAGGGCATGTCATCCTGTGCAGCAGACCCCCATCCATATAGCAGTAGTTTCTGTCTCCATGAATTCCATTGTCCCAGTGTAAACAGGGGAACTATGGGCCAGGAAAGCTGGGAAGATAAATGCAGCTGCCAGACCTTGGGAAACATGCCTAGTTCCTTTCCAGCTGGACATCTGACCTGGTGGAGACTGGGCTGGGGAACCAGTGGTCAAGAAAGACTTGGGGAGTCTAGAAACAGGAGAGGATGAGAAGCCACAAATAACCAGTTTTACCACCAAAAACCATGTGCTGAGCCTGGGACAGACAGCTGTGTGATGGAGGAGGCAGACAGTAAGCAGCAAGGCATGGCCACTATGGGGGTGGGGTGGGGTTAAAGCAGAGGAAGGCATTGGAGAATGAGGCGGATGGCGTTGGATTAGGTCTTTGGGGGAAGCTGGACATTGGAGCTGACCAGGTAAAGACTAGGCCTAGCCCGTGCAAAGAGCCTGAGGCAGGACCAGGTATGGTAAATTGGAGGAACAGCAAGCAGGCTGGTGTGAGGCAGGGGGCCGAGGGGAGGAAGGGAAGAAGGGGCATTTTAGAAAGGATGGTCAGGGAAGGCTTCAGTGAGGAGGGGGCATATGAGCAGAGAGACCTCCAGAAGGTGAGGGTGTACCCCATGGAAATTGGAGCAAGGTGTTCCAGGCAGAGAGAACAGCCCGTGTAAAGGCCCTGAATGAAGTAGGACCCGGCCTGGTGAGTTAGAGGAACAGCCAGTGAGGAAGCAGCTGGAGCAGAATGATCGACGGGGAGGGAGAGAAGAGGCCAGGAATATGGAGTTTGAGAAGTGAACTCATGGAGGGTGTGGTTGGGACTAGTCAAAGTCCCTGAGGGGTCTCAACTGGGAGTAATGCTGAGTCATTGAGAAGGGTGGGTGGGGGTTCTCTGGAAAGTGATGCTTTATAGTGCGTTGGGAGCCAAGGACGCCCTAAGCCTAAAATAAATGCTCTCAGGGGCTGCTCAGGCGCCAGTGCAAGCCCCAGGAGTGGGGGTTTCCCATGTAGGGGAGATGGGAGGAGCCATCCAGACGATGTCACAGAGGCTGGAAGCATCTAGAACCCTGGGGGCTCCAGGCCCCAGAATCATCTTTCGGCAAGGTGGCTGGGGTCAGCTGCTCCTGAGACCAGCCTTCCAAGACACAATGCACGCTGGGGGGCCACTGGGACCCACTTCCTCGTAGGCCCCCTGACCCCGAACATCTGGTCCAGCTCTTCTCCATTCCCACTCCAGCCACAGTCCCCCAGGGCAGCTCTGGAGATGCCCAACGGCCTCCCTTCTGCCGTCCCCAGTGGGACTTAGCTCACACAACCACAGAAGTTCATCATGGGGAGGCAGTGGCCAGCCCTGGCCCTAATGGTCACCAAAACCTTGCTGATCCTGCTGGTACTGCTGGGGCCCTCACAGGCCGTGGTACGAGCCATCCTGGACAGTAACTCCAGCTCTGTGGACTTTGAGGACTTGCCCGCCCTCTTTGGGGTCCCCTTAGCCCCAGAGGGTCTTCGTGGCTACCTGATGGAAGCCAAGCCGGCCAACGCATGCCAGCCCATTGAAGGCCCACGGCTGGGCAACAGCTCTCTGGGTGCCATCGTCCTGATCCGCCGCTACGACTGTACATTTGACCTTAAGGTGCTGCACGCCCAGCGGGCTGGCTTCGAGGCAGCCATCGTGCACAACGTCCGCTCTGATGACCTGGTGCGAATGGCCCACGTGTACGAGGATCTGCGGCAGCAGATCGCTATCCCGTCCGTGTTCGTGGGCGAGGCCGCCTCGCAGGACCTGCGGGTCATCGTGCGCTGCGACAAGTCTGCCCATGTGCTCCTACTGCCCGAGTATCCACAGTGCTCCGACCTGGACTGTTACCCTGTGTTGACCGTGTCCTGGGTGTTGGGCCGCGCCCTGGCCCTGCTTGCATCTACCTTCCTTGTCCTCCGCCGCTTGTGGCACTGGCTGTGGGCCTGGTGGCACCGAGGGCCTGTGGTCAAGACATCAACTCGACAGAAGGCACAGGTACGCACCTTCACGAGGCACAACGACCTGTGTGCCATCTGTCTGGACGAGTACGAGGAAGGTGACCAGCTGAAGATCTTGCCCTGCGCCCACACCTACCACTGTAAATGCATTGACCCCTGGTTCGCCCAGGCCACCCGCCGCACCTGCCCTGTGTGTAAGCAATCGGTGGCTGGCACGGAGGACGGCTCGGACTCCACAGTTGAGAGCTTCAACGACGAGGATTCCGTCCTGCCCGGTCCCCAGCCGCCCATCTGGGTCATCCAGGCCCGGCTGCGTTCCCGGAGGCTGGAGCTGATGACCCGAGCCAGCCAACACTGCCGCTGCAGTGCCACGTCTATGGGGATGTCCTCGGAGGGGACCTCACCACCCCACTGAGGCCCACAGCCCCTGGCGTGGGGAGGCCCAGGCTGGATAGGGTTATACACTTGAAATGTTTCTAGTCTGGAGGGAATAAAGTGGATTGGAAAGCAGATTCTCACTCTTGCTGTTGTCCGGCAGCCAACCCTTTAATGAAGACAGCCCATCTGATGCTGGCGAAGCCAGATGCTGATAATGAGGCCGGGCCCCAGTTTCTGCAGGTCAGTGAGGAGCAGGTGGGTGGTGGGTACTGTCACTGGAGAGAGAGAGGGGGCTGTGTGCTCTTGTAAAGACCGACAGTTAAGGAGACCCCGCAGAATGCTTCTACTCTGTCCTCCGGACTTGCTGTGAGTTGGAATTCATTTGATGGCAGAAGGTTTGACTTTGATTACTAGCCATCGGAAGATCTCTGGGTGGCTAATCAAAAAAAAAGACCCCTGGTGGTGCATCACTTAAGTGCTCAACTGCTAACCCCAAGGTTGGCAGTTTGAACCCACCCAGCGGCTCTGCAGGATAAAGGTGTGAGTGAGCTTCCAAAAAATAACAGCTTAGGAAACCCTATGGGGCAATTTGAGTCTGTTCTATAGAGCTGCTATGAGCCAGAATTCATTCAATGGCATACAATAACAAGAATTAACCAGAAGGTTGGTGGTTTGAAACCAGCCAATAGTGCCACAAAAGATCTGCTTTCAGAAAGATTAAAAAAACTCACTGGGAGGTTCTGTTCTGACACGTGGGGTCGCCCTGAGTCGGAATTGACTTGATGGTAATTGATTTGTTTTTTTTTTTTTGGGGGGGGGGAGGGGACAGCGAATGTGCTGCATTGAGCACTGCTGGAGTTGGCTTTCAGGGCTGGGTGGCTCTGATGACCAGGCTTGGAACACAGGTGAGTTTGAAGGGGTCACTCAGAGACAGACAAGTGGAGTACTAGAACTGGGGTGACCCTAAGGGGAGAGGGATGGGAGTGGTGGCTTTGGAATGGGGTCCTCTGTCTCCAGTTCCAGTATTGGGGCCGATCTTTGTTCTACTTTTCATCTAACTTTATTTGTTGTTGTTGTGAGGTGCCATCGAGTTGGTGCCGACTCATAGTGACCCTATGCATAGCAGAATGAGACACTGCCCGATCCTGGTCAACCCCCCTGCTGTTGCCATGCTTGAGCCCATCCATGCTGCTACTTGGCCAATCCATCTC